GCATGAGAGCATCATGTGGAGACGGTGGGCGGGGGGGTAATCTGAGTGCACAGAGGTCAGATGAGAGCAGGTGGGCCAATCCCATAATGCCTCATTTCCTCCCCCCACCTGTCCATTCTTGTCAGTGTCATCCTGTACGTGAGACTTGAAGGCTTCTCTACCCCAGGCCTGCAGTCAGTCTCTGCATACCAGGAGGCAGTTCTTTCTGCTGCTTCCGTGAGACAGGATTAGGCAGGTCCCAGTATAGCCAGTAAATTATCTGCCCATCAGCCAGTTCTTACAGAAGACCTCAGAGGCATAGGGTGTCACAGGAGACATGGAAAAGCTCAGCAAGTTTGGGCATTCTCAGATTGAATGTTCACGTTTCCAGTTAGCATCTGCATTTTGAGCTATGGGGGACGACCCCACGTATTAATTTCCTGTCTCCTTAGCAGTCTGGGGTTCCTTCTCCCCAACTTCAAATCAGCATTGGCGTCTGAACAGAGTGAGGATTTTGAGAATCTATTTTTTGAGAATGGCAAAGGCTACTGTAAGACATGATCGAGTTAGCACATATTCTAAAATGAGGGTCCCCTCACTGAGTATGAAATGAGAGGTACAGATTATCATCATGTTCTCCAGAGGAAGGGGAGTGCTTCAGCCCGTAGGGGGATTGGGAGAGTTTCAGGAAAGAGATGGGACTTGATAGGGACCCGGGAGGGTGGGAGAACGGTCTGTGAGTGGGGAGAGGGTCAGACACCGAGCCAGACTCCCAGGAAAGAACAAGCTTGAGCAAGGGAAGAGAGCCAGGAAAAGGGCCAGGCAGAGTGGGGGGTGGCGCGCTGCCTGACTCAGCACAGTCTGTGTGGGGAAGCGCCAGCAGGAAGACTGAAAGAGGCAGATACTTGGGGTGGGACTGGGGAGGACTTGGAACTGCAGGCTGAGTGCTGCGCCACTCCACTCAGAGATGGGAAAAGCCCTGAAGGGGCCTGAGTGGATGGGGCAAGGGCAGGGCAGTGGGGACACTAGGAAGGCCAGGCTGTGTGGCTTCAGCACACTACAGCATTACAGCAGTGCACTAGGGTTTGATCTTTGATGTAAATTGTTTATTTTTTATTTCTGGTATATTTTAAACCACATTTAATAGTCTGTTGCTTTGGGGGAAAACTTGAAGAAGAACCTCATTCCCACAGAACTTGAGCCCATGGCTACCTGTAACACATATTTCCATCTAGATTCCTGAGCACGGTCTGGCACTTTGCTAAAAGGGCTTACCAGGGAGCCTGCACCCAGGAGTACCTCTGACTCAACATAATGGGTCATCCCTGCCAGGATGACGCAAGGCCCTGCTGCCAGGGGTTACTGCGGTCATCCCCTTCCACGCATGAGAGCATCATGTGGAGACGGTGGGCGGGGGGGTAATCTGAGTGCACAGAGGTCAGATGAGAGCAGGTGGGCCAATCCCATAATGCCTCATTTCCTCCCCCCACCTGTCCATTCTTGTCAGTGTCATCCTGTACGTGAGACTTGAAGGCTTCTCTACCCCAGGCCTGCAGTCAGTCTCTGCATACCAGGAGGCAGTTCTTTCTGCTGCTTCCGTGAGACAGGATTAGGCAGGTCCCAGTATAGCCAGTAAATTATCTGCCCATCAGCCAGTTCTTACAGAAGACCTCAGAGGCATAGGGTGTCACAGGAGACATGGAAAAGCTCAGCAAGTTTGGGCATTCTCAGATTGAATGTTCACGTTTCCAGTTAGCATCTGCATTTTGAGCTATGGGGGACGACCCCACGTATGAATTTCCTGTCTCCTTAGCAGTCTGGGGTTCCTTCTCCCCAACTTCAAATCAGCATTGGCGTCTGAACAGAGTGAGGATTTTGAGAATCTATTTTTTGAGAATGGCAAAGGCTACTGTAAGACATGATCGAGTTAGCACATATTCTAAAATGAGGGTCCCCTCACTGAGTATGAAATGAGAGGTACAGATTATCATCATGTTCTCCAGAGGAAGGGGAGTGCTTCAGCCCGTAGGGGGATTGGGAGAGTTTCAGGAAAGAGATGGGACTTGATAGGGACCCGGGAGGGTGGGAGAACGGTCTGTGAGTGGGGAGAGGGTCAGACACCGAGCCAGACTCCCAGGAAAGAACAAGCTTGAGCAAGGGAAGAGAGCCAGGAAAAGGGCCAGGCAGAGTGGGGGGTGGCGCGCTGCCTGACTCAGCACAGTCTGTGTGGGGAAGCGCCAGCAGGAAGACTGAAAGAGGCAGATACTTGGGGTGGGACTGGGGAGGACTTGGAACTGCAGGCTGAGTGCTGCGCCACTCCACTCAGAGATGGGAAAAGCCCTGAAGGGGCCTGAGTGGATGGGGCAAGGGCAGGGCAGTGGGGACACTAGGAAGGCCAGGCTGTGTGGCTTCAGCACACTATCACCCAGGGCCTGTCCACCAGCAGCCCATGGGTCTGTTCCCACCTGGCTGCATCTGGGCGTAGCGGTGGGAACTGGGGAGGGCAGAGGGCATGGTACTACGTGGAGCCCAGGCAACAGCGTTAATACTATTAACGCTCTCCACTGCATACTCTCTGAATGACTTCTCCCTGCTCCAGAGCTTCAGTGACCTGCAAAGACTGACAAATTCAACTCTCCAGTTCTCTTCTGAGAGCAAACTCATGAACCCAACTGCCTACAAGGCGTCTCCCCAAAAAAGGTCAGGGGTGCCTCAAATCCAAAGTGAACTCCTGATTTTCCCCTCCCCAAAAC